TACTAACATTGATCGACTCATGGTTTCAAAAATGTGTCACTTAACATTATTCACAACCCCGTAATTCAAATCAAATCAATAACAATAACTGTTAGAATCACAAAATAATATCTATCAACTGCTCTTAATGTACATTTGACAATAGCCTTTATGTAAAGTATATAATCATCACAGTTATTTTATTGATTTGATTATAAATTACCTGAAAATGCCATGTTTATATACGCCAATCGCTTGAAGAATAATAGTCACAATTGATGTAATGGTTAATTACACAAAATTGTAAAGTTGCCTATGAAAGTAAATGGAAATGAAAAAAAATTTTAAAAAATAAAATATTAATTCAAAAACGTAAACAAAAATCTACACACACACACGCTCATCGTCATGTCACTGACACATGGATTGAGTTATGTTGGTAGATGTAGACTACCTTGGTTGGCGTCGGCGAGACGAAAGTCACCAATGGTTGAAGACCTCGAACGACATGGCTCAAAATCACTTGCGATGGCGCAGATGCATCCATTCTTTGTGTTCTCTCTAATTCTAATCTTCTGAATTCCTCATAATCTCTATATCTCACTGAATTATACTTCTCGAATCATATCTTCGCTCCCTAATCTTCTGCATGGGCAGTAATACTTCTACTATCACTACCACTATTGGATTTGAACTGTCAATTGCGTCTCTATGCTAATGTGGTGTGATGTAGCAACCTGAACTGATGTACATACGTACGAAATTCTGTATTGTATCTGTCTGTCTGTCTGTCTGTCTATATGTCTCTCATTGTAATTCTATCCAAAAAGTCTATTATATGTAATAATAAACAAGGAAGTATAATCTGTTGTATAACATCAGTGAGTAATTTGAATTTATTCAATGAAATATTTATGATACATCATGAAAATGAAGTCATAGTTTTTTTTTCCTTTCAGAATACTCTACAATTAATTTACAACTACCTTACAAGAATTTCAATGATTTCATGTGATATTTCAGTGTAAAATGTACTAAAAAATATAAAGTTGAGGATGTTAGGATATTCCCCAAATATCCTAAAACGATTATTTGTAAGTCTCATTCTATTGATCAATTCCTATTGGTCATCCTAACTATCAATGTCATACACTTCAAATGTTGTTTCCTATTCAACCTAAATGTATAAATATGAATTATCTGTCACGATTTATGGCCCGGATCCTTAGCGTCTTGTAGACTCGGACCTCGTACTTTCTGGATACTTGTAGAATACACGTTCTACTTCATATCAAGTCTTCTTCTTTTACTCAATGGGGGTTTAAGATTAGAGTAGCTTGTCGTGTCGCCGGATCGTCGATCCTCGCTCTCGTTCAACGACTAATGTGAACTCGTAATAGTTCAAGCATATCAATCTGGCGTGGTCATGAGCATTCGTAACAAAGGAGAGTTCATAAATTGCTAAGTCTTATGTCAGTTTTCTGAATTCAGAAAATCTATGGTATAAAATGAATTAATCAAAGATGGTAAATGATAGAACATATTGCCCTCAATTCACATAACTCTACATAGAAGAATAATCTCTAGAATAGGTAGTTTTCATGTTAACTGAGAGCTATTAGAAACAAGAAATCACCAGTGGTGATCAAACTAATAAGCCTTTAGCCAGTAGTAAGCAGTGGGTTCAAACAACACTTCCATTGCTTTAGTTTGAACTGATGGATATGCGTAGCCTCCGTCATCATTGGAAACTGAGGTGTTGCACCAGCCGATCACATTACCTGTTCCTGATAACCCATTAGTCTTGTTAGAGCAGTGGATGAAGAATTACCGGGAAGTAGGAAAAGAGTTCCCACAGCTTGTGTTCACTTAAGTCACCTATAGAGAAGGCTGTAAATATTTTTCTCAGAAGAACTAGTACAAATGCATTCCATGATAAAAAATAAAAATATCTGCATCATTGCAACCGATTTCTACCTGAATGAGATGCCCAATTGTTTAAGAATAAATTACAATGTACATCTATGATTTTTTCATTCTATATTATGACTTTGAAACTTAATTCTGAAATTGAAAGATGTATAATATAGGTAGGTAGCATTAACACTATAAATTATTCTGAAGCATTTGATCACGTATCATCAAAATCACTAAGCTCTGCTCGCAGGGAGTGAAGATATAATTCAAAAAGTAACATTCAGTAAGATAAATTCAGAAGGAGAAAGATAGAGATGATAAGGAATTCAGAAGGTTAGAATTAAAAAGCACACAATCAGTGGATGCACCTGCACCATTGAAAACGATTCTGAGCCATGTCATTCAAGGTCTATAACCATTGGTGACTCTCGTCTCGCGGACCTCAACCAGGTAGTCTACATCTACCAACATGACTCAGTCCACTTGTCGGTGACTGCATGGATTTCTGCCATGTTTTTGGTTTGGCCGCCCCTAGCTTTCTTCCAACGTACTCCCACAACACATAACATAGCTCGTCGAGGCAGTTGGTGGTTAGGCATTCGTAATACATGTCCCCAACCATCTCAAATGATGAAGTTTCATCACTTCATCTATTGATTTGCCATCCCTACCTAGAACTCGTTTCCTAACGATAGCATTGCTTACTCGGTTGTCCCAGGATACACGAGTACTGGTTTGGATACACCTGTGATCGAAGGACTGGTAACCTACGAATGTCCTCTACTCTTAACGTCCATGTTTCGCATCCATATAGTAGGACAGAGTGAACTGCTGCACAGTATACTCGTCCAAAAACAGAAACACATATGAAGTGACAATTAAATCACGAAAATGAAATTAATCTTTTTTTTAAAAAAGGAAAAACGAAAACATACTTGTTTACAAATCGTAAAAATTCAATTGTATACGTTTGACCATAATGCAACTAGTACAATATGCCCATGAACGTCTATCCCACAACGAACAGAAAAAAATGGATAGAAAAAAAAAACATTCATCACAGATAAAAAATGTTGACTTTACTAAGGATATGGGGTTAAAAATTCTCATAGAAATTTATATATATATGAGTACATCAGTTCAAGTTGACATACAAGCATTAGCACAAAGACACAATTGTCAATTCAATTACCAAAGGTAGTATAGATAGTACAAGTGTAGAAGGATTTGATTTTGACCTATTTGGTCTTATGTGCTGTTACGGGTATGAGGGCGGTTGTCACTTCCCGGGTGCACACACAGTGGAAGGTTGTTTCTTTAGGGACCTACAGAAGAAGTTAGATTAGTGTTGGTCTTGGACACCTGGGAGCGTCAGCGCAGAGTCCAAGGGACAACTGCTTGAGGCCGGTCACGCACGGCCTTTTTATGAAAGGTTTTTTGAGTGTTAGCTCCGCCTTAAAGGCCATTAGTGGCTACCCTTACCGACGGAGACGGAAATCCGTGAGGTAGGGGTGAGGTGTGACATTTTTTGTGGTCGACCTTTTCTAACACTTCCTTCCTTGTGAGAAGGCAGCATCGCTCCAGATGTTGGTTGTCCGAGGGAAACACCTTACTGCTGCCACACCCCTCTACAGTCAGTTAGCAGTACGACTTCGCCCTCAGACATTGAGTAGCTGCTTTTAGTCTCATCATTCTCCAACCGACCTGCCTGGCATGGTAGGACCTGCAGGAATATAAGTTCCAGCCAATATAGCTCGGTTGGTTCATCACGATAGGCAAGCCCGACCACCACGTCTAGGTAGCAGCTACAGTCGAGAGTACAAGTATAAGCAGTAATCGGAGAAGATTATAGTTCGAAGAAAATTTAGAAAGAGAAGGATAGAGATGATGAGTAATTCAGAAGATTATAATTTGAGAAAAGGTATAGAATGGACGTAGCTGCGTTATTGAAAACAACTTTGAGCCATATCATTCAAAGTCCCTAACCATCGGTTACTATCATCTCGCGCACCTCAACCAGATAAGTCTACACCTATCAACATGACTCAACCCCCACTTGTCAATGACTTCATGGATTTGTACTCATGTTTTTTGATCTAGCCGCCCTTAGCTTTCTTCAATGAGGAAAGGAATAAACCGCTAAAACATGAGTACACACAAACCAAACACATGCATATAGAAAGATTTAGAAATACTCCTTAATCAGTTAAAATGAATTAAACAGCTTAGTCGTCAGTGTAGCTTAACCTTAAGGGTGTCTAAGAAATTCAATTAATTTAACTAAATAGAAATAATTGACACAATGTGGAGAAGAACTATAACCCATGAGATATAAAATTAACTTACGGCAATTCACGACCACGTATTTCCGATAGAATACAACTTTCTCCACCAAGATATTCATAGCATAAACTTAAAAAACTGTAGACAACAAATGCTAAAATGGAATCAATAATAGGAAATATATCAAATTAATTAAAATTGAATTAAGTTCTAAATGTTTAACTAATTTGATACTGGGTTATCAACATAAAACTATGAATGATTTATGAAATCCGACAATGTTTAACAGTCGTTTAGATGTAAGTTATGAATCCACAACAGTTTAGTCAGTCAGTCAGTCAATTACAACATAAGTATATGTAAGTAGGACATGGGCATTGGATTAAAACATGATTGCGTTGTTGCATGCTGATTTGCTCTTTCGTGTCCAATCAGCGCTAGCCGATACTGAGGGAACATTCTAGAATCTTCTTATGTAGAAAACTATAGATAAACTAATGTCTTTTTCCTTCTGACCTTCTATCTTCCATTTAATCTTGCTATTTGGAATATAATCTCTATTTCCTCTTAAACCATGTTCTGATCTTGGGAGAGAACGTCTCGAGATGAAAATTAGTGTCCAAGAGTACTAAGCATCAAGGAATAGCTGACTTGTAATATAAAAGAGAGAGAATGATAACAGTATGATACAAGTTGTATAGCTGTTAAAATGGGGAGAAATTTATATTTTTTTATTTTTAAGTTCTTTTTGTGATGTCATTCTTATCAGCTATCCCGACCAGAGCTGCTACCTTGACGTAGTGGTCGGGCTTGCCTATCATGATGACCCAACCGAGCTATATTGGCTGGAACATATGTTCCTGCAGGTCCTACCATGCCAGACAAGTCGGTTGGAGAGCGGTGAGACTAAAAGCAGCTACTCAAGGTCTGAGGGCGAAGTCGTACTGCTGACTGCAGATGACTGTGACAGCAGTAAGGTGTTTCCCTCACACAACCAGCATCTACAGCGATGCTGCTTTCTCACAAGGAAGGAAGGGTTAGAAAAGGTCGACCATAACAATGTCACACCTCACACTACCCTAACGGATTTCCGTCTCCGGCGGTAAGGGTGCCCACTGAGGGCTTTTAAGAGCAGATCTAATGCTCAAAAAATCTTTTATAAAAAGGCCGCGCGTGACTGAAAGCAACAGTTGTTCCTTGGGCTCTGCGGTCATGCTCCCAGGTCTCTAAGACCAAACTCTAATCTATCTTCGTTTTCAGGTTCCGCAAGAAACAACCTTTCACGGTGTGGGCAGCCGGGAAGTGATAACCGTCCTCATACCCATAACAGCACACGAGACCAAACTAGTCAAAATCAAATCAAATCTTATCAGCTATGACGTAGAACTTCGTGCCTACGTACATCAGTCCAAATCTCCATACCGCATCAGCACACAGAGATCGGACTGTCACTTCAAATCCCATAGTAGTAGAGGTAGTAGAAGTATTAGCAGCAATGGAGAAGATTAGAGTTCAAAGATATTAGTCAACAAGTATAATTCAATGAGATAAGTGTAGAAAGAGAAAGAGAGACGTGATGAGGAATTCAGAAGATTAGAATTTCAGCGAATACAAAGAGAGTGGATGCACATGCACCATTGCAAACGATTTAGAGCCATGTCATTCAAAGTGTCCAATCATCAGATACTATCATCTCGCGGATCCCCAACCAGGTAGTCTACACTTATCACCACAACTCAATCCAGTTGTCAGTGACCTCCAGAGTCCTTCTACGATGTGAACAACCGGAAAGTAGACAACCTCCCTTATACCCCTATAAAAGCACATGAGACCAATTCGGTCACATTGAAATCCTTTCTACTACTTTTTGTCACACTATTTCACATCATGATTTCGATTTGTTCTGTATGTAAGATGATTTATTGGTGTATACTTCCCATTTCATGTCAGTCAGTCAGTCAGACGCAAGGTAGAACTTCGTACGTAAGTACATCAGTTCAAATTGCCATACCACATCAGCACAGAGATATAATTATCAATTCAAATCCAATAGTAGAAGAGGTAGTAAAGGTATTAGAAGTAATCGGAGAAGTTAGGATTAGAAGATATTATTCAAGAAGTATGATTCAGTGAGATAAGTTTAGAAAGACAAAATTAGAGGTGTTGAAGAATCCAGAAGATTAGGATTTGAGAGAACACAAAGAATAAATGCACTGGCGCCATTGCGAACGATTTTGAGCCATGTCATTCAAGGTCTCTAGCCATAGATTATTATCATCTCGCGGACCCCAACCAGGTAGTCGACAATTACCGACATGACTCAGTCCACTTGTCAGTGACTTCATGCATTTCTGCCATGTTTTGGTCTAGCTTCCTTCCAACCTACTCCTACACCACAAAACATAGCTCGTCGAGGCAGTCGGTGGTTAGGCATACGAAACACCTATCCGAACCACCTCAACTGATGAAGTTTCAATGCTTCATCTATTGATTTGCCATTCTTACCTAGCACCCGTTTCCTAATAACAGCGTTGCTCACTCGGGTGTCCCACGATATACGAGCAATGCTTCAAAGACACCTATGATCGAAAACCAATAACCTAAGAATATCTTCTATTCTCACTGGCCATGTTTCACAGCCATAAAGTAAGACGGAGCGAACTACTGCACAGTACACTCGTCCTTTAATCAGCAAACGGATATCTCGCCTACGCCATAAGTGACGCAGGTTGGCAAAAGCCAATCGAGCCTTCTGTATCCGTATTGAGATTTCGTCAGTCACCAGGCAATCGGCACTGATGAGACTCCCAAGATAAGTGAAGCGGTCTACACGTTCGACTACTTCATTCCCTATCACTAGTTCAGGTGCCGATGAAACCCTATGCTGAAGCAACATTTTGCGTTTCGAGGAGGAAAACCGCATCCCGAACATGCTTGCATTGTTGCTTAGGGTAGTCAGAAGACTCTGCATTTTGTCAGCGTCTTCACCAAGTAGGACAATGTCATCGGCATATTCTAAGTCAATAAGCGAGTCACCTGGTAAAAGGTCTACTCCTGAAAATTCAGACAACGATAAGGTTAATTCTAGGAGCATGTCTATGATAAAATTAAACAAGAATGGAGTGGACATCCCTTACGCACACCACTTGACGTAAGGAATTTCGTTGACAGTTCGCTATAAGCTCTCACTCGACCAGTGGTGTTTGAGTAGAGAGAGCTTGTATAAGGTTAATGTACTTCTTTGGTACACCTTCCAATGACAGACACTGCCACAGAACCTCACGATCTACCGAGTCAAATGCCGCTTTTAGGTCCAGGAAAACAACTATTGTAGGACGCCTAAATATGTGTCTATGTTCCAGGACCTGTCTGAGTGTGAAGACGTGGTCTATACAGCCACGTCCAGGTCGAAAACCAGCCTGGTTTTCTCGAGTTTGCTCTTGGTAATGTTTACTAAAAAACATTTAACGCCTATAAGTTAAGGATGTTTACATATACGTACACGTTCTCAAACAAACCCAATAATAAATAACATCAACAAATTTCCTAAAAAATATTTAGTCGATTAAATTCAAATAAAACCAAGCTGTTTTCTAGTCACATCACATGGAAATCTATAAGTGGGTAGGGAGGGTTGTTGCAGAAAACAAGCCCTCAAGACTAGTTAGGGAATTTTTATTGATCTACAAAATGCTCATATCTACCTGTCTATCACAATCTCACTCTATATAAAATGACGACAACAACATTCTTATGAGGCGTTTTTCTCCCGCCCCCCCCATACTCAAAACTGCATCCTATCATTACTATAACAACTAACTATATGACCGTAGCAGTAGTAGTAGTAGTAACGGATAAGTATGATTGGTTGAAAATTATTATGAGTGTGAAACAAACAGTTAGTAGTGATAACTACGCATATAAGAGAGGTAGTGGTGGTGTGTAATACTCACGAGGAAAAACGAAAAAATGGATTTGTGACCAAAGAGGGAACAGAATTCATCAAATTGAGAACAGATTAAAATCGAAGATTTCGTAATAATAAGACAAAACAGCAATTAGAAAAATTTTGGTTCTCATAAAATAAACTTTAGCTTTGAATATTGAACGATTTTGAATGCAGTCAAATGAAACACACATTGTAAAAATAGGTTAGAGAAGTAAGGGAGAATTGAAAAATATACACAGTTTACTTACTTACTTACGCCTGTTACCCCGTAATGGAGCATAGGCCGCCCACCAGTTTTCTCCAACCAACCCTGTCCTAGGCTTCCCTCTCCAGTTCTGTCCAATGTTTGTTCATTCCTCTCATGTGTTTCTCTATTTCACGGCGTAATGTATTCTTTGGCCTTCCTCTTTTCCTTTTGCCTTGAGGGTTCCATATGAGGGCTTGTCTTGTGACGCAGTTCGGTGCTTTTCGTAATGTGTGTCCTATCCACTTCCACCGCTTCTTCCTGATTTCCTCCTCCACTGGAATCTGGTTTGTTCTCTCCCATCAGCAACAACGAACTGTGGGAGAGAACAAACCAGATTCCAGTGGAGGAGGAAATCAGGAAGAAGCGCTGGAGTTAGTGGATAGGACACACATTACGAAAAGCACCAAACTGCGTCACAAGACAAGCCCTCATATGGAACCCTCAAGGCAAAAGGAAAAGAGGAAGGCCAAAGAATACATTACGCCGTGAAATAGAGAAACACATGAGAGGAATGAACAAACATTGGACAGAACTGGAGAGGGAAGCCTAGGACAGGGTTGGTTGGAGAAAACTGGTGGGCGGCCTATGCTCCATTACGGGGTAACAGGCGTAAGTAAGTAAGTAAACTGTGTATATTTTTCAATTCTCCCTTACTTCTCTAACCTATTTTTACAATGTGTGTTTCATTTGACTGCATTCAAAATCGTTCAAATTCAAAGCGAAAGTTTATTTTAGGAGAACGAAAATTTTTCTAATTGCTGTTTTGTCTTATTATTACGAAATCTTAGATTTTAATCTGTTCTCAATTTGATGAATTCTGTTCCCTCTTTGGTCACAAATCCATTTTTTCGTTTTTCCTCGTGAGTATTACACACCACCACTACCTCTCTTATATGCGTAGTTATCACTACTAACTGTTTGTTTCACACTCATAATAATTTTCAACCAATCATACTTATCCGTTTACTACTACTACTACTGCTACGGTCATATAGTTAGTTGTTATAGTAATGATAGGATGCAGTTTTGAGTATGGGGGGGGCGGGAGAAAAACGCCTCATAAGAATGTTGTTGTCGTCATTTTATATAGAGTGAGATTGTGATAGACAGGTAGATATGAGCATTTTGTAGATCAATAAAAATTCCCTAACTAGTCTTGAGGGCTTGTTTTCTGCAACAACCCTCCCTACCCACTTATAGATTTCCATGTGGTGACTAGAAAACAGCTTGGTTTTATTTGAATTTAATCGACTAAATATTTTTTAGGAAATTTGTTGATGTATTTATTATTGGGTTTGTTTGAGAACGTGTACGTATATGTAAACATCCTTAACTTATAGGCGTTAAATGTTTTTTTAGTAAACATTACCAAGAGCAAACTCGAGAAAACCAGGCTGGTTTTCGACCTGGACGTGGCTGTATAGACCACGTCTTCACACTCAGACAGGTCCTGGAACATAGACACATATTTAGGCGTCCTACAATAGTTGTTTTCCTGGACCTAAAAGCGGCATTTGGACTCGGTAGATCGTTGAGGTTCTGTGGCAGTGTCTGTCATTGGAAGGTGTACCAAAGAAGTACATTAACCTTATACAAGCTCTCTCTACTCAAACACCACTGGTCGAGTGAGAGCTTATAGCGAACTGTCAACGAAATTCCTTACGTCAAGTGGTGTGCGTAAGGGATGTCCACTCCATTCTTGTTTAATTTTATCATAGACATGCTCCTAGAATTAACCTTATCGTTGTCTGAATTTTCAGGAGTAGACCTTTTACCAGGTGACTCGCTTATTGACTTAGAATATGCCGATGACATTGTCCTACTTGGTGAAGACGCTGACAAAATGCAGAGTCTTCTGACTACCCTAAGCAACAATGCAAGCATGTTCGGGATGCGGTTTTCCTCCTCGAAACGCAAAATGTTGCTTCAGCATAGGGTTTCATCGGCACCTGAACTAGTGATAGGGAATGAAGTAGTCGAACGTGTAGACCGCTTCACTTATCTTGGGAGTCTCATCAGTGCCGATTGCCTGGTGACTGACGAAATCTCAATACGGATACAGAAGGCTCGATTGGCTTTTGCCAACCTGCGTCACCTGTGGCGTAGGCGTGATATCCGCTCGCTAACCAAAGGACGAGTGTACTGTGCAGCAGTTCGCTCCGTTCTCCTATATGGCTGTAAAACATGGCCAGTGAGAGTAGAAGATATTCGTAGGTTACTGGTTTTCGATCATAAGTGTCTTCGAAGCATTGCTCGTATACCGTGGGACAACCGAGTAAGCAATGCTGTCGTTAGGAAACGAGTACTAGGCAAGGATGGCAGACCAATCGACGAAGTGGTGAAACTTCACCAGTTGAGGTGGTTGGGACATGTGTTTCGTATGCCTAACCACCGACTGCCTCGTCGAGCTTTATTTTGTGGTGTAGGAGTAGGTTGGAAGAAAGTTAGGGGCAGCCAAACCAAAACATGGCAGAAACGCATCAAGTCACTGACAAGTGGATTGAGTCATGTCGGTAATTGTCGATTACCTGGTTAGTGTCCGCGGGATGATAATAATCTATGGCTAGAGACCTTGAATGACATGGCTCAAAATCGTTCGCAATGGCGCCGGTGCATTTATTCCTTTGTGTTCTCTCAAATCCTAATCTTCTAGATTCTTCAACACCTCTAATTTTGTCTTTCTAAACTTATCTCACTGAATCATACTTCTTGAATAATATCTTCTAATCCTAACTTCTCCGATTACTTCTAATACCTTTACTACCTCTTCTACTATTGGATTTGAAATGACAATTATATCTCTGTGCTGATGTGGTATGGCAATTTGAACTGATGTACTTACGTACGAAGTTCTACGTTGCGTCTGACTGACTGACTGACATGAAATGGGAAGTATACACCAATAAATCATCTTACATACAGAACAAATCGAAATCATGATGTGAAATAGTGTGACAAAAAGTAGTAGAAAGGATTTCAATGTGACCGAATTGGTCTCATGTGCTTTTATAGGGGTATAAGGGAGGTTGTCTACTTTCCGGTTGTTCACATCGTAGAAGGACTCTGGAGGTCACTGACAACTGGATTGAGTTGTGGTGATAAGTGTAGACTACCTGGTTGGGGATCCGCGAGATGATAGTATCTGATGATTGGACACTTTGAATGACATGGCTCTAAATCGTTTGCAATGGTGCATGTGCATCCACTCTCTTTGTATTCGCTGAAATTCTAATCTTCTGAATTCCTCATCACGTCTCTCTTTCTCTTTCTACACTTATCTCATTGAATTATACTTGTTGACTAATATCTTTGAACTCTAATCTTCTCCATTGCTGCTAATACTTCTACTACCTCTACTACTATGGGATTTGAAGTGACAGTCCGATCTCTGTGTGCTGATGCGGTATGGAGATTTGGACTGATGTACGTAGGCACGAAGTTCTACGTCATAGCTGATAAGATTTGATTTGATTTTGACTAGTTTGGTCTCGTGTGCTGTTATGGGTATGAGGACGGTTATCACTTCCCGGCTGCCCACACCGTGGAAGGTTGTTTCTTGCGGAACCTGAAAACGAAGATAGATTAGAGTTGGTCTTAGAGACCTGGGAGCATGACCGCAGAGCCCAAGGAACAACTGTTGCTTTCAGTCACGCGCGGCCTTTTTATAAAAGATTTTTTGAGCATTAGATCTGCTCTTAAAAGCCCTCAGTGGGCACCCTTACCGCCGGAGACGGAAATCCGTTAGGTAGTGTGAGGTGTGACATTTTTATGGTCGACCTTTTCTAACCCTTCCTTCCTTGTGAGAAAGCAGCATCGCTGTAGATGCTGGTTGTGTGAGGGAAACACCTTACTGCTGTCACAGTCATCTGCAGTCAGCAGTACGACTTCGCCCTCAGACCTTGAGTAGCTGCTTTTAGTCTTACCGTTCTCCAATCAACTTGTCTGGCATGGTAGGACCTGAAGGAATATATGTCCCAGCCAATGTAGCTCAGTTGGGTCATCAGGATAGGCAAGCCCGACCACTACGTCAAGGTAGCAGCTCTGGTCGGGATAGCTGATAAGAATGACATACAAAAAGAACTTAAAAATAAAAAAATATAAATTTCTCCCCATTTTAACAGCTATACAACTTGTATCATACTGTTATCATTCTCTCTCTTTATATTACAAGTCAGCTATTCCTTGATGCTTAGTATTCTTGGACACTAATTTCACTCGAGACGTTCTCTCCCAAGATCAGAACATGGATGAACAGGAATTAGAGATTATATTCCAAATAGCAAGATTAAATGGAAGATAGAAGGTTCAGAAGGAAAAAGACATTAGTTTATCTATAGTTTTCTTACATGAGAAGATTCTAGAATGTTCCCTCAGTATCGACTGGTGCTGATTGGATTACGAAAGAGCCAATCAGCATGCAACAACGCAATCATGATTTTAATCCAATGCCCATGTCCTACTTACATATACTTATGTTGTAATTGACTGACTGACTGACTAAACTGTTGTGGATTCATAACTTACATCTAAACGACTGTTAAACATTGTCGGATTTCATAAATCATCATAGTTTATGTTGATAACCCAGTATCAAATTAGTTAAACATTTAGAACTTAATTCAATTTTAATTAACTTTGATATATTTCCTATTATTGATTCATTTTAGCATTTGTTGTCTACAGTTTTTTAAGTTTATGCTATGAATATCTTGGTGGAGAAAGTTGTATTCTATCGGAAATACGTGGTCGTGAATTGCCGTAAGTTAATTTTATATCTCATGGGTTATAGTTCTTCTCCACATTGTGTCAATTATTTCTATTTAGTTAAATTAATTGAATTTCTTAGACACCCTTAAGGTTAAGCTACACTGACGACTAAGCTGTTTAATTCATTTTAACTGATTAAGGAGTATTTCTAAATCTTTCTATATGCATGTGTTTGGTTTGTGTGTACTCATGTTTTTAGCGGTTTATTCCTTTCCTCATTGGAAGAAAGCTAAGGGCGGCTAGATCAAAAAACATGGTACAAATCCATGAAGTCATTGACAAGTGGGGGTTGAGTCATGTTGATAGGTGTAGACTTATCTGGTTGAGGTGCGCGAGATGATAGTAACCGATGGTTAGGGACTTTGAATGATATGGCTCAAAGTTGTTTTCAATAACGCAGCTACGTCCATTCTATACCTTTTCTCAAATTATAATCTTCTGAATTACTCATCATCTCTATCCTTCTCTTTCTAAATTTTCTTCGAACTATAATCTTCTCCGATTACTGCTTATACTTGTACTCTCGACTGTAGCTGCTACCTAGACGTGGTGGTCGGGCTTGCCTATCGTGATGAACCAACCGAGCTATATTGGCTGGAACTTATATTCCTGCAGGTCCTACCATGCCAGGCAGGTCGGTTGGAGAATGATGAGACTAAAAGCAGCTACTCAATGTCTGAGGGCGAAGTCGTACTGCTAACTGACTGTAGAGGGGTGTGGCAGCAGTAAGGTGTTTCCCTCGGACAACCAACATCTGGAGCGATGCTGCCTTCTCACAAGGAAGGAAGTGTTAGAAAAGGTCGACCACAAAAAATGTCACACCTCACCCCTACCTCACGGATTTCCGTCTCCGTCGGTAAGGGTAGCCACTAATGGCCTTTAAGGCGGAGCTAACACTCAAAAAACCTTTCATAAAAAGGCCGTGCGTGACCGGCCTCAAGCAGTTGTCCCTTGGACTCTGCGCTGACGCTCCCAGGTGTCCAAGACCAACACTAATCTAACTTCTTCTGTAGGTCCCTAAAGAAACAACCTTCCACTGTGTGTGCACCCGGGAAGTGACAACCGCCCTCATACCCGTAACAGCACATAAGACCAAATAGGTCAAAATCAAATCCTTCCTACACTTGTACTATCTATACTACCTATGGGAATTGAATTGACAATTGTGTCTTTGTGCTAATGCTTGTATGGCAACTTGAACTGATGTACTCATATATATATAAATTTCTATGAGAATTTTTAACCCCATATCCTTAGTAAAGTCAACATTTTTTATCTGTGATGAATGTTTTTTTTTTCTATCCATTTTTTTCTGTTCGTTGTGGGATAGACGTTCATGGGCATATTGTACTTGTTGCATTTATGGTCAAACGTATACAATTGAATTTTTACGATTTTGTAAACAAGTATGTTTTCGTTTTTCCTTTTTTAAAAAAAAGATTAATTTCATTTTCGTGATTTAATTGTCACTTCATATGTGTTTCTGTTTTTGGACGAGTATACTGTGCAGCAGTTCACTCTGTCCTACTATATGGATGCGAAACATGGACGTTAAGAGTAGAGGACATTCGTAGGTTACCAGTCTTCGATCACAGGTGTATCCAAACCAGTACTCGTGTATCCTGGGACAACCGAGTAAGCAATGCTATCGTTAGGAAACGAGTTCTAGGTAGGGATGGCAAATCAATAGATGAAGTGATGAAACTTCATCATTTGAGATGGTTGGGACATGTATTACGAATGCCTAACCACCAACTGCCTCGACGAGCTATGTTATGTGTTGTGGGAGTACGTTGGAAGAAAGCTAGGGGCGGCCAAACCAAAACATGGCAGAAATCCATGCAGTCACCGACAAGTGGACTGAGTCATGTTGGTAGATGTAGACTACCTGGTTGAGGTCCGCGAGACGAGAGTCACCAATGGTTATAGACCTTGAATGACATGGCTCAGAATCGTTTTCAATGGTGCAGGTGCATCCACTGATTGTGTGCTTTTTAATTCTAACCTTCTGAATTCCTTATCATCTCTATCTTTCTCCTTCTGAATTTATCTTACTGAATGTTACTTTTTGAATTATATCTTCACTCCCTGCGAGCAGAGCTTAGTGATTTTGATGATACGTGATCAATGCTTCAGAATAATTTATAGTGTTAATGCTACCTACCTATATTATACATCTTTCAATTTCAGAATTAAGTTTCAAAGTCATAATATAGAATGAAAAAATCATAGATGTACATTGTAATTTATTCTTAAACAATTGGGCATCTCATTCAGGTAGAAATCGGTTGCAATGATGCAGATATTTTTATTTTTTATCATGAATGCATTTGTACTAGTTCTTCTGAGAAAAATATTTACAGCCTTCTCTATAGGTGACTTAAGTGAACACAAGCTGTGGGAACTCTTTTCCTACTTCCCGGTAATTCTTCATCCACTGCTCTCAAGACTAATGGGTTATCAGGAACAGGTAATGTGATCGGCTGGTGCAACACCTCAGTTTCCAATGATGACGGAGGCTACGCATATCCATCAGTTCAAACTAAAGCAATGGAAGTGTTGTTTGAACCCACTGCTTACTACTGGCTAAAGGCTTATTAGTTTGATCACCACTGGTGATTTCTTGTTATCTAATAGCTCTCAAGTTAACATGAAAACTACCTATTCTAGAGATTATTCTTCTATGTAGAGTTATGTGAATTGAGGGCAATATGTTCTATCATTTACCATCTTTGATTAATTCATTTTATACCATAGATTTTCTGAATTCAGAAACTGACATAAGACTTAGCAATTATGAACTCTCCTTTGTTACGAATGCTCATGACCACGCCCAGATTGATATGCTTGAACTATTACGAGTTCACATTAGTCGTTGAACGAGAGCGAGGATCGACGATCCGGCGGACACGACAAGCTACTCTAATCTTAAACCCCCATTAGCGTAAAAGAAGAAGACTTGATATGAAGTAGAACGTGTATTCTATAAGCATCCAGAAAGTACGAGGTACGAGTCTACAAGACGCTAAGGATCCGGGCCATAAATCGTGGACAGATAATTCATATTTATACATTTAGGTTGAATAGGAAACAACATTTGAAGTGTTATGACATTGATAGTTAGGATGACCAATAGGAATTGATCAATAGAATGAGACTTACAAATAATCGTTTTAGGATATTTGGGGAATATCCTAACATCCTCAACTTTATATTTTTAGTACATTTTACACTGAAATATCACATGAAATCATTGAAATTCTTGTAAGGTAGTTGTAAATTAATTGTAGAGTATTCTGAAAGGAAAAAAAAAACTATGACTTCATTTTCATGATGTATCATAACTATTTCATTGAATAAATTCAAATTACTCACTGATGTATACAACAGATTATACTTCCTTGTTTATTATTACATATATAGACTTTTTGGATAGAATTACAATGAGAGACATATAGACAGACAGACAGACAGACAGATACAATACAGAATTTCGTACGTAAGTACATCAGTTCAGTGTTGCTACATCACACCACATTAGATAGAGACGCAATGTCAGTTCAAATCCAATAGTGGGTAGTGATAGTAGAAGTATTAGCAGTAGTTGGAGAGATTAGGGAGCGAAGATATGATTCGAGAAGTATAATTCAGTGAGATAAATTTAGAAGGAGAAAGATAGAGATGATGAGGAATTCAAAAGGTTAGAACTTTTAGAGAACACAAAGAGAATGGATGCAGCTGCGCCATTGCAAACAGTTTGGAGCCATGTCGTTCAAGTTCTCTAACCATTGGTGACTTTCGTCTCCCGACGCCAACCATGGTAGTCTAATCTACCAACATAACTCAAGTCCTGTGTCAGTGACAATGACGATGAGCGTGTGTGTGTGAGATTTTGTTTACGTTTTGAATTATTATTTTATTTTTCAAAATTTTTATCATTTCCATTTACTTTCATAGGCAACTTTACAATTTTGTGTAATAACCATTAACATCAATTGTGACTATTATTCTTCAAGCGATTGGCGTATATAAACATGGCATTTTCAGGTAATTTATAATCAAATCAATAAAA